AAAACAAACCAAAAAGTATAGAAAAGGGATTTTTTAATAAAAAAAAAAAAAAGTTAAGATAATGGAAATAGATAAAACACCAAATGAAGGAAGTAACTTGACACCCGAAAAATTATTTAAAATACAAATTTACAGTGTTCTTGACACTCTATTGTGTCAAATAGATTGGCGTTATGAAAAAATGAAAACTATCTGTGACAATTTTTGCTTTCTCTGTGGCTCATCTTTATAATACATGAGTGTTGCTGATTTAAAAAAAATCGGCTGCAGATTTCGCTATTATTAATAAATATCGCAAAGATTTTAAAAAGTATGAATTCACAAGTGAAATTGAAAGTTTTAATTTTGTAGTAACGACTCTTATACAAAATATGGAAACTGCATCTCCGCTTAATATTCTACAAGCTCTTCATGATTTTAGTTTAATTGAATTTTACCCAAATATCAGTGTCGCTCTTCAAATATTTCTAACTCTTCCCGTTTCTATTGCTTCGTGCAAGAGAAGTTTTAGCAAGTTAAACTTAATAAAAAATTATTTATGATCAACTATCGGACAAGAACGATTATCCAATATTTCTATTATTTCAATAGAATACAATATCGTTAAAAATATTAATTATGATACTGTAATTAATGAATTTGCTGAAATGAAAGCCAGAAAAATTCAATTAAAATAAATTTTATTAAAAATCTATTGTAATGTATTTATTATTTTCCCAAAACCAAATTAATTAAGGGGCCTAAATGCAAATTCTTGCACAGGGCACAGGAGTGGCTAGTTACGGCTCTGTGTGGACAGGTACAGTACATAATAAATCTTGCTTCATCCAGTGCAATCCCAGATGATTGCCTAGATACTGTTTTCAACTATTTACAGTTTAAAATATGTTTTAAACATTTTACTTATATTTCTATTACAGTGAATATTTTAGTTTGATGTTTTTGAATATATGGAGCAAAATTTTATTATACAGTATCAGGTACACTAATTGAGAAAAAATACTTGTGGACCATCACAATCAGAGTATTCATTCAGTAGTTTGTTTTAGAAATATCGAAAGCTGAAGAAACATGGCTTGTTGACTTAAAGAGTCTGATTCAGTGGCAGGTTAGGCTATTAGGAATGAGTTTACCTAATCATTTTATCAAATGTGTAAAACCAGACCTTACTGTAATAATTTTTCTTTGTATGTATTGAATGACTAAAGATTAAGAATATGATTTAAAATAATTATGAAACTTCAAACTTGTGTGAAACAATGATACTTTTTATGTAGTTGATTCTTTAAAAAGTGTAGATTATCATTTGTTGTTAACCATAGTATCAATTATATTACAGGAATTTGATTTTTAAATAGTATAATATTGATACATAACAGTATATTTTGTTTATGTACTCTGCTGTGTCAACTATTAACATATGTTAATAGTTGACACAGCATAGTCCTTTGATAGTACCACTGCATGAGATGTGTGATAGTAGAATACCATAGTACATCTTTGATTAACTGCTATCTACATCAGTGATGCTAAGATTGGCACATCAGCTGTTTGCTGCTAAAAACAGTGTATGGTGTAATGCTCATTTATACAGAATTTTTATTATTCTATTGTTAAATAAGTTTATCAATATCATTTGAAAATTTCAATGGAGGATTGTTGCAGTTATAAGTGGTGCAAGTGATTGTTAGCAGTGCTGTTTTCCTGTTCTGACTGATATAAAGTGTAACTTAATGGTAAAAGTTTGCACTTTATATGTACTGTTTTATTTTGATTTCTCATTTTTGGGAGTTTTTTCCAGGCTTAAAAAGCCTGGAAAAAACTCCCTGAATACATGTGATATTTTCCTTTTCTTACACATGAATATTTTAAGTTTTTTAAAAATATCACATTTTCCAAATATTAGTGATATATTTCTGTATGTAAAATGGCTCAGAATGAATAAAATTCTTTTAAAATACTAGCAGCTATATTAATAAATTAAAGTTTAAAGCATAACTGGTTAATCATTTCTTAATTTTGCAAATTTTTCTCTATTCTCTCTTGTTTTTTAATCAATAAACTCAAAATTTTATTATTTTAGAAAGAACTAATTCTTTATCCTAATAAAAACGGTTCAGTAGTCGATTTATTAGAAGAAGCAAGGAAACAAGTTGATTTAAGTGACTCAGGTTCTGGAAGATTAAGGTATTTACAGTCAAATTTATTAGTATTGTAGATTAAAAAAGATTTACTTGATGTAACAAAGTATTTTATTATTAATTTTCCAGGTTATTAGAAGTAATTAGTTGCAAAATTACTAATGTTCAACGTGAAGACATTCAGTTGGAATGTCTTAATGCAGCAAATACCAAAACTTATCGAATCGAGGAAATTCCAAAAGACGAACTAGAGTTAGCTGATGATGAGCTTCTTATTCCTGTAGCACATTTTCATAAAGTGAGTGGAAAAATTTTACTTTATCCATTTTAAAAAGTCATTTATACAGATATAATAATTTTTTCTAGGAGGTATTTTCCACATTTGGTGTTCCGTTCCTGTTAAAAATTAAACATGTAAGTATTTTAAAAATATTTTTTTTCTATCAAAATATTATTATAATAAGAGCAAAAATGTACACAAATGTATTTCAAATTAATTTATATATTTAATTTTGAATAATTTTGTTTGAAAATGTTTATTGTTATCAGATAAGTCTTTTAATTTATAAGTCCCTTATATATATATTCATTGTGAAAATTAACAAACAGTTCTAATATGTATAAGATTATTTCACGCTTTAAGACTAATTATCACTAAACTATTTTAGTGATAATTAGTCTTAAATCATCTAATTTTTTAGGAGCTAAAAAATACAAAAATGTAAATAGAAAAATGATGTTAGATAAAATTTTTCATGCTTTAAGATTATTAATTAAAATTGTTCATTGATTCTGAATATGAGATCTGTTTGTTAGATATATTAGATTAATTTTTTAAAAGGAAGTTTATCAGTTAATATCAAGTATTTTGTGATAATGAAATGATGCATGTGGTCAGATGACTTCCTTGGAATAAAATTGGATTTATAATTATAAGTACACTGATTCTAATTTAAATGCAATTAAAAGAAAGTATAATAATATCAAATTGCTTTTTTTTTTTTTTATTTATCATACTTTGAAGTAAAAGGTAATGATTGACGGGTAAAAACAATAAGTTGCTACAAAATCTTGTGTTAGGTTACAAAATAACTAATTAATAAATAAATTATATTAAAACATTTATAGGATTTTAAACTTTATTTATTTTTTCTTACAGAGAGAACCATTCTCAAGAGTTAAAGAAAGAATACAAAGAAAGCTAGATATTCCAGATAAGGAATTTGAAAAGGTTAATTATTTTGTCTTTAAATGCATAATTGTAAAAATGTTTAGTATTAAACAACACTTAAAGGGCATAGTCTATTTATTAACAAAAGCATTTGCTTGGTTATTTATCAATTGACTTTTTACTTTCAGTATAAATTTGCTATAATATTAATGGGTCGACCACAGTATATTGGTGAAGAAACCGATTATTCTGTTACTTTATCTGATTTTTTATCTCAGCCACCACAAGGTATACGAATGTTTTTGTTGTTATCTTTTTAGTGAATTACATTGCTGATTTTGTGCGAATTATAGGTGGTACGTTGCAGTCCAGGCCGTGGCTTGGATTAGAACATATTAATAAAGCTCCTAAACGTTCTCGCTATAACTATCTGGAAAAGGCCATTAAAATACATAATTAAATCAATATGGTCAGAGATGCCAAGATAAGGTATGCCCCTTTTTTTTCTTTTTTTAACTAACAATTCTCTGGATAGATATGATTTTTAAATTGCAACAGATTTAATATTTTCTATTAAAATGATTTGTTTTATTGTTTATGAATGCATTGATAGTTGTTTTCTGTAGTGCAGAAGTTAGAAATCTCTACATTTGTCTGCACTTTCAAGTTGATTTTATAAACAATTTTTCGGTTTTGTAACATAAAAATGTTTTGAGTTCATTTCTGTAATTAATTAATTTTTCTGATTTGCTTTTAATAATATCAACAGTCTAAATTGACAATAAATTAACTTCAGTTTTTTAAAGCTTTACTTATTAGTTCAAAATTAAAATTTAACCAAATTTTTGCCAATTTTAGGCTGTCGAAGATCATAAAAATAAATATGCATTTTTCCAATTTATATGACATATTACAAATTTACCAGATGATTAAATTTGAGGAATAGACTCGGCAGTATCATGGGCCAGTTATGATTGTTACTTCCCTGCTGCAGGTTGTCTGTAAAGTTACTGTGCAGTGAGAAATTTCTATCAGCATTAAAATTGTGTATATAGTATTGCATACAAGACATTAAGTTGTATGCAATACTGTACATTTTAATTGGCCAGCCAGTACCAAGTGGACAGTTTGCAGGTCTCATATACAATGTCATACATATGACTTTAATTTTGGATAATTAATAATTTACTATGATTAATTAATATATCACTAGTTCAACATTTTTCTTTTCCAGGTAATGGGCCATACTGAAATCCTCCAGTGTTATGCCAACCTGTGATCACACTCCACTGTGCAAACCTCCGTGCTAGATGTGCTTTCAACTTTTCTGCACGGCTGTGTAGGTGCAGTTCAAATTTTACTTCTGTTTTCTCAAAACATTTTGGTCCACCTACATTCTGAGTCGAGTCTTCCCCATTGGGGGGCAAGAAAAAAAATTTTTCTTAAAACACTGCACTAAAAAGGTGGATTATATTGGGTATAATGGTTATCATATCAGTGTCCACGGTTATTCTCCGAGGCCCTTCCCGTTGCGGACATTTATTGCCGAGGGGGTGAGAAACGGAAAAAAATAATATTTACAAACTCTGAGATCACGATTTCAGTTCAAGCAGATACCGAAATCTACTTAGCCTATTTCTAGTGTTTCATCACAAACAAGAATGGATGTAATATAATTTAAACATTATTTACATGTGGTTTGTATGAAGGAAAATAATATAGTTCCGAAATGAGGAAAAAAGCTTGAAAGTCTTCATTGCATATTCTGTTTAAAATTCTGTACTATACATTCAAATATAAAAAATAAAAATAAAATAAAAAAATAAATACCAGCATGTGAAAGTTCCAAATTTTTGTGGTCTGGTGAAAACTGTCCAGTTTATTCCTTTTGTGTTAGTTTTCTGGAATACATTTTGCATGGTGGAAAAAAAAGTTGTTGCGTACGAAGCACAAAAGATTCCAACGGATGGCGCACTGAACTTGGCAGTGAGGAAAAGGCCCTAATATATGTGTTAAATAATAAAAAAAAATAAAATAAGGAGAAGAGAAAAACTTCTCTTTTCTTCTGTGTACACCATTTAAATATATTTGCAGCTTCTGTACAGTGTGTGTACTAAAAAGTTCAATTGCCTTACTACTCACAAATGCTTAGTAGAATTGTATGGAGGAATTTTCAAAATAAATTTAGAACTGTATTATGTGTGTTTGTATCTATAAATATTTTAAAAAATAATAATTATTATTATTATTATTATTATAAGCAAATTTGAATGACGGCCATTTGCTGTATATTCTTTTCTCTTCCCCCTTCAAACAGGCATGAAACAAGTAAATATTTTCAAATTGGATTTAAAAAAAAAAAAGGCATTCAGATTTAAGATATTCTTGTACATTTATTTTAATTGGTAAATAAATTGTTGAAGTTGAATAATAATTAATGAATTTTGGAAATTAAAGTAATTGTTTTTAATGTAAATTAATGCACCACTGCTTCACTTAAGTTTAATATTGGTATTTTAACACAAACACCAGAAAATTTACATTTTTGGCAACACCATTTGCCTTTGCAAACTAACACCATAGAAACTTTCATGGAAAATGTTGAACAGGAAGTAAATAATTAAAATAAAAAACCAAAATGTACAGAAACAACATAAAATTGCAGATAAAATATATTAGTTTAATAGATGATTTACAAACATAAATTTGATTTTAACAGATGCTGCAATTTCTTATGGGCATGTCAATTTGAATATCCAGCATATTTTATTTTACATAAAAAAAAAATTAACATAAATGCTAATTGGCTACAAATTTAAATTGACAAATACAAAAATTAATTTGACAATTAGGGATGTCAAATTAATTACACTTGGATACAAGTTTTAATTGTGTTTCGAATCTATCTTCGGCTTTATCATCAATGTAATATACAAATTTAAGCATTTAAAATTAATATTCTTTTATAATTGTTCCACCATAGATTTGTATAAGTGAAGGAGTGCTTAGAATGTGTACAGTACATTTGCATAAAGCTGTAATGTGGAGTATTACTCTGCAGCATAAATTTCACATATTTTAATGCTAACTTGTGTTATTCAAGAATACGATGATGATTGCATGACATTTACTCTTGAGAATAGCCAAAAATCTGTATTATCAGAAATATTAGTGCATAAGGTACATAAAAAATTTTTTGTTGTTCTCCATTATGGATACTGATTTTGATGATGGCTCTTGCTTAAGTGGTGGTATTGTGCCAGGAACGGTGTTAATTAATAAACAGTTATCATAATGTCCAACTGTACATTGTGATGTCGGGGCATTAATAAAGAATCTCTTATTTGCACCCCATGTGTATGTAACTAAATGCTCCACATTCAATGTGAAAATGGAGCTTAGTTTGGATATTTACTCTAGATGTAAACATTTGCATAGTAATTTTAATGGAGTTTCTTGATATCCTGTATACAATGACCATTAAGAACAATTTATATTAAATTATTTTAATGAAAATGTTTGTATTTTACTGAAACACTTCATGTGTTACCATAAGTTTATCCTGTTGTCAACAATACATTAGTCATCATGTTCCTTGTTTCCCCTGATGATGATTTTAATCTTGAAGATTTGAGGTAAATTTTATGAGTTTAAATTGCTTCTTTAATATAATGCAAACGGATGATCTCTCTGGAGTCTAGTTATACGATGAATTACTTGCAATGGGGGTCTAAAAAGGGACTTTTTCTATGCCCATAGTGGGTTTGGGCAGACCCCATTGGTGCGGCCCTATATAAGCTCTCGACGCCCCGTACATAAATTCCTTTTCTTATTCTTAGAACGACTATAGATATATTTGTATAATATCAATAATTGATATACTGTATTTGTTTCTTGTCAATAAGTTTATTTTACTATCCTTAATTATTTCTTATTGTAGGATAATTTTTCAGATCAAAACTCTCGATTGTGCCTATTTTCGTCGGATATTCAACTATGCAGAATGAAGATAATTCTTATCAAAATTCGTTGTCATACCGTAGTAATAACTATCATCAACAACAGTCATAGCCGCCTCCATCATCACCGTCATTATAACCAGATTATTTCTAATTATTGTAGGACAAGCCTTAAGATCTTCGATATTATCACCCTTGCATTTAATTGTGCAGAAATAATTATCATCATGTTATTTTATGTGATTCTTTATTGAGTTTTCCAAAACTTTGAAAATCGTCATTTGTCTCTCTCTTAAACTCACTCAAGTTAATACACTTTTCTTCATATTTTCTAGTTAAATACTGTATTAAAATATAAAAAATCTTGTCTTCAAAAAATAATTAAATTTAAGTTGAAATTTTTTACAAATTAAATCTTTACGTTAAAGAAAAAAAAATACAAAAACTAAATGAAAATATTTTCTTGAGATAAAACTAATTTACATATATATTAACTTATTCCTCCTATTTTTAAATGTAATTGCAGTGTTTTTTTGGTGATATGAATTTTTAACGAACTAATGCTATTCTATCGTCCTATGGAAGAAAGCCTCTAGGCATAAATAAAAGCAATAAAAATGACTCCTTAAGGGCCTCTAGTTATGAGTCAAAGCAATGAAAATCTCTCTCTGTACCTATAAATGCCAGCAACGAAAGTGGCTCTAGTTATGAATTCAATCAATGAAAATACTTTCCAGAATTCACAAAAGTACAGTTAGAATAAACGAAAAACTTATTATTTATGATAATCTAATAGTATATGAAAGCCACTCATCATCGTTTCAAGATGACATTATGCAGATGATGATGATGAAACAACGTTTAAAGGAAAATCAAAACATAAATTTACTACAAATTATCCAGAAAAGTTAAGCATTTCTTTAATTAGAAAGATCGTGGAGCGTAATAAATAACACACACACACAACTATATCGAACTTGTGTAAGAAGTTCTGTGCAATTTGTTACTCAAGTAGCATTATTTTCTAAACAAATGACTACAGAACATACTTTAAACAGTTGATAGCGGGCTTTTAATTCACTCGTCTCGTATAATCGACTTCATAAATTTAAGAATTTCGAAGGAAAGAAGCGAATGTTTGCATGTGAATGTGCGTTATTCATGATACAAGAGGCATTTACTTTGTTGAAGTAACTGCCATTCACCTTCTTTCTATGTTTTAATGTGGTTTTATCATTAATCTAATCATCCGTGAAAGATGATCAGACATAAAATCTAATCGTCGGACATTTTTCTAATATATTTTACCATTAAAAATTGGGTATGACCCATAATTTTTAATGCAAACATGAATCGAAATGTACAATACAGTACAGTACCTTAAGTACAAATACTAAAGTAAACGAATCGTTAAAATAATACATTTTTTAATAAGCAATTTACATTAAAAATTAAAATAAATAAATTCAGTATTTTTAAATATTTAATTAGATTAAAGTTTTGATATTAACTTAAAGAGCGCTTAATTATAATTAAAGTTTTCATATTTATAACAATTAAGCAACTGTTAGTCATTTAAATTAAATTACAAATAGTTAGTTTAATTAATTAATTATAATGAAGTTGCAATTACATTTAAGAATACGTTCAGATTTTGCAAAGCGGTCCATTTTATAATAAAAGTTTTTAAATAAAATATCATAAGATGGCGCCACACGCAAGTTAAATTTTTTTGCCGGAAAAGTTATGCAACTCTGCTGGATTTTTTATTATTATTATTATTATTAAATTTAAAGTTATATTTTTGCGAAGGAAAAATTATAGATGAAGTGTAATGAATTATAAAGCTGTTAAAACATCATTTTTATTTGATCAAAAGGGGGAGAAACTAATTACTTTTTTTTAGTTTCTTTCAATAAAAGTAATAAAAATTTAATGAAGTTTAGTGAAAAATAATTATTTTTTAATGAACTTAATGTTATACTTTTGTAAAGAGAGAATTTTAAATGAGGCATGACAAATTGTAAAGCTGTTATAGGAGAGAATTTCTAGTCAATTAAATTAAGGGTGATAAATTAATTTTTAAAAAGTTTTTTTTTTAGTAAAAAAAAACAATGAAAAATAATTGAAATTTTTCTGCTTTTTACTAAAAAGATATTTAAAATTAATTAATTCCTAATTTGTCGACTTGAAATTCCTAACAGCTTTGCAATTTGAAATTGCCCAATCAAAATTCTTCTTTTATTGAGAAGGAAATTTTAAATTGATTAAAAATAACAAAACTTCGTGAAAATCAATTAAAATTTTCATCGAGTTTTATCATGTCCTTTTTAATAAAAGAAGAATTTCGATTGGGCAATTTCAAATTGTTAAGGGGCCATTTCTTTTAATCAGTGCCATAACTAATTAATTCCTAATTTGTCGACTTGAAATTCCTAACAGCTTTGCAATTTGAAATTGCCCAATCAAAATTCTTCTTTTATTGAGAAGGAAATTTTAAATTGATTAAAAATAACAAAACTTCGTGAAAATCAATTAAAATTTTCATCGAGTTTTATCATGTCCTTTTTAATAAAAGAAGAATTTCGATTGGGCAATTTCAAATTGTTAAGGGGCCATTTCTTTTAATCAGTGCCATAACTAGCCATTCCTGTGCCCTGTGCAATAATTTGCAATTAGGCCCCTTAATTAATTAGGTTTGGGAAAATAATAAAACAAATACATGCATTTGGGCTCCCCTTCCGAGTGGGCCCTGTGCGGGTGCACCTGTTGCATCTGCCTAGTTATGGCACTGCTTTTAATTGAACGAAATTGGGGGAGAAGTAATTGCATTTTTATAATTAAATTTTTGTCGAAAATTCTAAATCTTACTGAATTTCATCACTTGGAATGAATGAAAGGTTAGATTTTGGCGGGAGGAAAGAGTTTTGAATGGAGCATAACGAATTGCAACTGTTCAATCAATTATATTCTTAATACAAACGGAACGAATGGTGATTTACAATTACCTGATAGTTGCTATTGTTAGATTAAGTCAATAGAAATCCTATCTTCAGTGGTTCAATAAGAATGGGAGTCATTATTCGTTGCATTCTCATGAGGATCCACCTTTATAATTACCACCTGACTGGCTTACAAATGGAGTCAAAACTTTCGCCTTTTAATTAAACTTGAAGACATAAAATCCCTTATTTTTAATGTGTATTGGAGTATTGAAAAATCGGCGTTACCTTTAA